CATAGTCCCAGAGACCCTGTACCCTGTCCAGCCCACCCATACCTTCACAGGCTGTGCGTCCATCCGGATCTTGCCCCAGGAGACAGCCTCGTCTGGTCGGGCGCCCGAGTCAGAGCCATCGAACTCCTGGGCCGTGTTGATGTAGACAGCATAGTTGGCCCCGTTCCGCTGTAGGGAGGGAATAGGGAGGGTGTGCCCAGTCAGCCAGTCACAGGAGACAGACACAGAAAGGGACACTATAGCCAAGCAGGCTGAGGTGTGCGTGCTAGATGAAGGAAGCCCTTGGCAGCCCCTCGCTCCCAGACAGGGCTCATGGCAATGCTTGGGGTCACTAGAGCTGCTGGGCAACAATGGCCATGTGTCCCAGAGGTGTCAACTCTATCTTCAGAAGCCCTGCAAACCTAGCCACCTCCTGCGTCCACGGGCCCGACCCTGGTCCCTGCACGGTCACCATGGCCCTGGACTGCAGTTCTCACTCGCCTGCCACCATCTGTTCCCCACGTGGCCACCAGAGGGAGCACGGGAACCCCCACCTCCCTCAGTGCAAAGGCCAAAGCCCTTGCCTCAGCCTACAAGGCCCAGCAGGCTCCCCAGACACCTCCCCGCATCACCTCCTGGCCCTCACCACTCCACTCTCCCCTCACCAGTCTCCCAGCTGTTCCTGGATTACTTCAGGCACTCCAGAGCCTTTGCACCGGCTGTTCCCTCTGCTGAGAACTTTGCAATCCAGAACCCAATCCTAGCATAGCTGCAGAAACTCCTGGCATGGTAGATAACCATGTGGCTCCCGGGAGGAGCTTCCCCAAACCTCTGCTCCCAGCTCACACTTCCAGAAGCCTCCTTCCAACACCCCTTATTGGACAGCACCCTTTCTCTTCTTATCCCATCATCTAGTCTTCGTAGCAATGACTGCCACCTGACAAGGATGTCACTGGGACCTCTACTGTTTTGCTATCTCCCCAACTAGAACATCAGTCCTGGGGAGCAGGGATCCTGGCCTGTCTATTCATCCTGTCTCCCCAGCGCATAGCATAGGCCTAGCACACAGCACGTCTTCACAGTGGGCCGGAGTGCCACCCCCACTCACCATGAGGTTGGCGTTGGCAATGTGGTGCTTGACCACACCCCCACCCAGAATGATCATCCCAGTGCACTTGGCAAAGATGGCCTGCGTGTTGATGAGCCTCAGGTCTGGAGGAAGAGGGCCGAAGTCAGGCCTTGGGCTCAGCCGGCCCTCCTTCCCCTCCCCTCTGTGGCCCCAGCATCTTACCCTCAACGATGTCCAGTACCAGGCCCGGGTTCTTGTAGGAATGGAAGAAGATCATGTCGCCCAGCGAGCCGTCTGTAAGTGCTGGACTAAACACAGGGATGTGGTTCTGCAGGGAAATGACAGGACAGTGGCTGCAGCTCAGAGCCTTGTCCCTATGCCAGCTGCGTCACTTCCCTCCTGTCTGATTGTGGGCGGGTGCTTCATTTCTCTAGGACTGTTACCTCAATTGTAAGGTAAGTGTAACAGTAACATCTCTCACAGATGAGGCCTATTATGAGAAAACCCGCAGACAACACTTAGGATAGTGCCCGGCACATAAAGAACCATCCTATTCTTAGCTTGCTGGGCTGTTTCTTTTTTTTTCTGAGATGGAGTTTCACTTTTTTTTTTTTAATAGAGACAGGGTTTCTCCATGTTAGTCAGGCTGGTCTCGAACTCCCAACCTCAGGTGATCCATCTGTCTTAGCCTCCCAAAGTGCTGGGATTACAGGTGTGAGCCACCGCACCCAGCCGAGTTTCACCTGTTGCCCAGGCTGGAGTACAATGGCGAAATCTCAGCTCACTGTAACCTCCGCCTCCAGGGTTCAAGTGATTCTCATACCTCAGCCTTCCAAGTGGCTGAGATTATAGGCGCATGCCACCATACCCAGCTAATTTTGTATTTTTTTTTTTTTAGTAGAGATAGGGTTTCGCCATGTTGGCCAGGCTGGTCTCGAATTCCTGACCTCAGGTGATCTGCCCACCTCAGCCTCCCAAAGTGCTGGGATTACAGGCGTGAGCCCCTGCACCTGGCCCTCTCTTTTTTTAAAGAGCCATCCTGGGCAACATGATAAGTCCCCATCTCTACAAAAAAACATCAGCCAGGCATGGTGGCATGCACCTGTAGTCCCAGCTACTTAGCAGGCTGGGACAGGAGACTCGCTTGAGCCCAGAAGCTCACTGCGGTGAGTCATTATTGTGCCAATGCACTCCAGCCTGGGCAACAGAGTGAGACTCTGTCTCTTAAAAAAAGAATAGGTAGGCTGGGCGTGGTGGCTCACGCCTATAATCCCAGCACATTAGGAGGCCAAGGCCAGCGGATCACCTGAGGTTAGGAGTTCAAGACCAGCCTGGCCAACATGGTGAAACCATCTGTACAAAAATACAAAAATCACCCAGGGATGATGGTGGGTGCCTGTAGTTCCAGCTACTCGGGAGGCTGAGGTGAGAGAATCACTTCAACCCAGGAGGCAGAGGTTGCAGTGAGCTGAGATCCCACCACTGCACTCCAGCCTGGGCAACAGAGCAAAACTATGTCTCAAAAAAAAAAAAAAAAAAAAAAAGTATTTTTTTTTTTTTTTTTTTTTTTTTTTCAGGTTCTGATGATCTAAATAAAGGGAGTGGGTAGCTCTTATTTTATAGCCTCTGGGAGTGTTGGACCCTGAGCCAGGCCCCAGGGGAGTTGCTAAGTGCTGCCACCACTGTTCCAGAGATAGTCTGGGAGGAGGATAAGGAGGCTGAGGCCCCACTAGTTATCTGGGTGACTTCAGACAAAATTACCTAGCCAGGCCAGGAATGGTGGGCCATGGCTATAATCCCAGCACTTTGGGAGGCCCAGTGGGAGGACTGCTTTGAGGCCAGGAGTTCAAGACCAGCCTGGGCAACATAGGAAGACCCCCATCTCTAAAAAAAAAAAAAACTTAAAAATTAATATTGTGGGGCACAGTGGCATATGCCTGTGGTCCCAGCTACTTAAGAGGCTGAGGTGGGAGGACTGCTTGAGTCCAGGCACTGCAGCCTGGGTGATAGAGCAAGATCCTGTTTCAAAAAAAAAAAAAAAAATTACCACCCCATCGATGTTGGAGTCTCCTCATCGAAGAGTGAGGATGCTAAGAATAACAGTAGTGACTCCCCAGGTGGATGGAAAGATAAAGTAAGTTAACACATGCCAAAGTCTAGCTACTTTGCCCTCGCCTATATCCTCACCTTCTGGGCCCAGTAATACACGGACTCTGGGCTGTTGATCTCCTTGCCCAGGCGGGCGATCATCTTTGAAGGTGTCCACTTTACACCCTAGGAAAGGACATGAGCTTCAGCCCATGCCTCCCCTGACTCCTACTGGACTGGCCCCTCCAGGTCGCTCTGGCCCCACCTCTGTGTTCTGCTCCAGCACCATCTGGTCCAGAATGGGCATCAGCCAGTCCTCAAACTTGCAATAATTGTTATTGGGCACCAGCAGGTTTCCGATCCTGAGGACAGGAGACATGTGGGCATCTGGGCCCAGGACCCTTGGTCCAGCTCCCATGCCCACCACTCAGGGTTCCCACCTGTTGATCCCATTCTCCCGGAGCTCCTTCCCTCTGAGGCTAAACTCGCCCAAGTAGGTGGGGGCCAGGCACTTGATGAGGTCTTCCTCCACTCCGCCAGCTGTAGTCACCAATACATCCACCTGCAGCCACAAGGCAGTGAAGTTGGCCCAAGAAGGAAGACCCTGCCCTCATTCTGGGCAGGACTTCTAACCTCATCCTCGTCCAGTTACTCTTACAAGGGAGCTTTGCTACAGAACAAAACATGATTCTATTCTTCTGCTTAAAACAGACTCCTATCTCCCCGTCTCACTTAAACGATTAATAACTGCATCGCCCATTGACCCAGAGGCCAAGGCCACGGCCCCACCAGGTCCCCACCATGTTGTGCTGCACAAGGTAGCGAATGGTCTCACGGATGCCTGAACTGATGAGGTTGGATGTATATCCCAGGAAAATGGTGCAGCCAGTGAGTGGGCGGCGGCTCTGGGTCAGGTCTGCGTGTTGGTCTTCATCCTGTGACAGCGGTTCCAGCTTCTTCTCAATCTGGGGGTAAGGGCCAAGTAGAGTTAAGCACTGGCCCTAAATTCCAGCCCCAGGACTACAGGTGGGCTCTAGAAACAAATTCCACCCCAGGCCCTGCCCATTCAGGGATACAGGGCCAGTTCTACCGGGAACCAAGGAACATCCCCTGTGCAAACCCTGCCCCTTCCCAGACCAGATCTCAGGACACGCATTCGGGATTTGTCCCCACCCTTTTAGGAATCAGAGGGCTCTCCTTTTCAGATCCTGTCCCTTCCCCAGTGGCAAAAGCAAATCTAAGTTCAAGCCCCGGGGCGCTGAGACTTAGGCTCCTCCTCGGCCATGTGTTCCCTTAACCTGTTTTGCCCCAGGCTCCGCTTATTCCAGAAAGCTTTAGACCTAGAACCCGGCCGCCCACCAAGAAACGGTCCCTGCCTCCTCAGGCTGTCCTAGGATGTAACTACTGGAGTGCAAAGTCCCCTTCCCAGGACAAAAGTCCTGTCCAGTATAGATCCCGCCTTCTTCGAACTGCTAGATCGCTCAAATAAAAGCCCCGCCCCCTTAGAGTACTGCCCTGGTTCTACAAGCCACGCCTCTCCGCGGCCCTGGAAGTCCCGCCCCCGTCCTCACCATGGCATTGACTTGCTGTACAGCGCGCCCGAAGTTGGTTGCTTGGAAGCCAGTGGTGCCGAAGGCCTCCAGCAGTGCGCGGTAATCCACGCCGCGGTTGAAGTCGTAGCCCCGGACCTGGGCGCTTTCGGGCGGCAACGTCGAGCTGTGCTTTAGCACTGCGGCCAGCGCCGCCGCGGGCGCCTCCCCTTCCAGGGAACCTTCCATGCACCTGCAACCGGCTCTCGAGTCACAGATGCCCCTAGGCCAGGCTTACGGCGGTCCAGAAACGCGTTAAACCCCGACACGCACGTCTCCACACCACAGGAAGCCAGGAAAGCGCCTTGGAAAACCGGAAGTTGCTCGATCACGTGACCCTCTTTAGTCCTCTTAACCCAGGTAGCTGCCGTCCTTACGCATGTGTTCCGTAATACGGAAGCCGCGAGGAGCCTTTATTCCTTTTCACGAGTTCTCGACTTCGCATAAATGAAGATTCTCTTTTTGTTTTCATTTTTTTTGTACAGACCATTTTTTTAATTGTACATTTGTCTACGTCTGTTATATTGTTTTTTTTAAACAAAATATTTTGCATTTATTTATTTAATTGTAGTAAAATGAGGAGATATTTAAAACATTACTTCCTGATCACTCAGCAGTTAATATAATGTTGCTTTGTCTTTATAACGCGCTGCATGTCCCCTTAACATTCAGAGCCTTTCCGATTGTCTTCTGTGAACTCTGATTTGCTACCAACTGTATTTCGAAGAAACCTAAAGACTTTATCCATTGACTCCCTCATTACTTTGTTAAAAAATTTGTTATGTTTCGGGGACATAAATATTTTTCCAGTATAAATATTGGTGGGAAAGCACTGTATTGAGAGACACATTCTATGAAGAAGTGCTCTATATGGAAAGCATTAATTGTGGAGATGTTCAGGCCAGGCGTGGTGGCTGACGCCTGCAATCCCAGCACCCTGGGAAGCCGAGGCAGGAGGATCACTTGAGTTCAGGAGTTCGAGACTAGCCTGGGCAACATAGCAAGACTATGTCTCTACAAAAAGGAAGAAAAGTAGCCAGGCATGGTGGTGCATGTCTGTTATCCCAACCACACAGATGGCCGAGGTGGATCACCCGAGCCCAAGAGGTGAGGCTGCAATGAGCCCTGATCGTCCACTCTGGGCAACAGTGTGAGGCCCTGTTTGAAAGGAGATTGAGAGAGGAGAGGAGAGGAGAGGAGAGGAGAGGAGAGGAGAGGAGAGGAGAGAGAGAGAGAGAGAGAGAGAGAGAGAGAGAGAGAGAGAGAGAGAGATTCTGTAGAGAATACTAGGCTCTTATTCTTCC